GCCCCATGCATCTCTTCCATCTGGCTGTTCCTGAGTTACATCCATTTATAATCAGCCAATAATGCGGTGAGTAGATGAGTTTCCTGAGTTATGTGAGCTGCTCTGGCAAATTAATTGTATCTAAGGTGTGGGGCTTGGGAACCTCTGATTTATAGTCAATCAGAAGTGCAGGCAACAACCTGGGCTTGGCACTGGCATCTGAAGAGGGATTTGGGGTGGGAGCAGTCTTGTGAGACTGAACCCTTAATGTATAGAATCTGACACTTTTGGGTAGATAGTGTCAGAATTGAGTTAAATTATAGGTCATCCAGCTGGTGTCCAGAGATTGCTTACTGGATGTGTGGGAAACCTCCTCCCCAACACATATTGAAATTGGGTCCAGGGACTCAAAAAGAAAAATGAAATAAAAAGGTCTATCAGGCACCTCTTTTATACTTAGCATTGGAGGTACTTTAAGAGATAGAAAAAAAAGGGTCCTCCTATATCTGCTATTTGTTCAAAACCTTAATCGGGAAGGAAAAGTATAAAATTGACTATTCTTAAGAGCCCGAAATGTGTTTCAGGTCTAATGTGTTAGAGCTTTTAAGAGAATGGAAACTTCTCATGAAATTAAGCATGATGCTATTTCTGCTTTATGATTTATTTCTACATACATTTATTGTGTGCCTCCTGTGTTCCAGAAATGTTCCTGATCCCCAGGTCTAACCATCTAGTGTCAGTGATGGTGGATGGAGGAGACAGTTATCCGAACAGAATAATGAAGTTCAGAATTACAGGGCTTTGATAAATGACTGTGCAGGATACTTAGGCATAAAGTATTTTAAATGTCAACAGAGACTTTGGAAGAAATCGAGTCTAAAATCCTTCATTTAACAGATTAAAAAACTGAGGCCCAGAGAGGTAAAGCAACCCTGTAAAGGTCACACAGCAGTTAATGCTGGTAGTAAAATCCAGGTGTCCTGACCTCCAACCTCAGCTGGCTGCATGGAAAGGGTGCGAGCTGAGGGATCTGCACTGGAGATGAGATGAAATTACACATGAGCAATTTAGCAAAATCTCTTGTGGATTTTTTTACTGGTCAGTATTAGGGATAAGGGGACAATGTGGCGCAGGAAGAAAAATTGCCTTGCTCGTTAGGAAATCTAGGTTCTACACCTACCTGGCTATGACCACATACATAGAATGCATCTTTAGTCACATGACCTAACACACTAAAAATAACGCTTCCATGTATTTATTTAACACATTATGCTTTTCTATAGTGCCTTGTACCATCATCTCATTTATTTGACTCTTGAAACAGAAAGATATCCTTATCGCTATTTTGCAGGTGAGCAAACCGAGATGCAGAAAGTGACATAGCTAGTTAAGTGAGAAACTCGGGGTTAGAACTCCTGAATGCCTCTAGACCAATACTCTCCCAATGATACCATGTATATAACAAGTGTGGGACAGGGGTCGTTAACCAAGAGTGTTATTTGATTCTGTTCCAGATGCATTGTGAGAGGTTTCTATGTATCCTGAGAATAATTGGAACCACACTCTTTGGAGTCTCTCTCCTCCTGGGAATCACAGCTGCTTATATTGTTGGCTACCAGTTTATCCAAACAGACAATTACTACTTCTCTTTTGGACTGTATGGTGCCTTTTTAGCATCACACCTCATCATCCAAAGCCTGTTTGCTTTTTTGGAGCACCGAAAAATGAAAAAATCCCTAGAAACCCCCATTAAACTGAACAAAACTGTTGCTCTTTGCATCGCTGCATATCAAGAAGATCCAGGCTACTTACGGAAATGCTTGCAATCTGTGAAAAGGCTCACCTACCCTGGAATTAAGGTGGTCATGGTCATCGACGGGAACTCAGAAGATGACCTTTACATGATGGACATCTTCAGTGAGGTCATGGGCAGGGACATGTCAGCCACTTATATCTGGAAGAACAATTTTCATGAGAAGGGTCCCGGTGAGACGGAGGAGTCGCATAAAGAAAGCTCGCAACATGTCACCCAATTGGTCTTGTCCAACAAAAGTATTTGCATCATGCAAAAATGGGGTGGAAAAAGAGAAGTGATGTACACGGCCTTCAGAGCACTGGGACGAAGTGTGGATTATGTACAGGTAGGTTTCCAAATTCCTGCCAGGGCAAACATACATTTAAATAAAGCAGCTTTTGTATCTCTCCAGTCATATGCTTATAGCCCATCCTTGTCACTTCTGAACACAGTACTCCTTTCAGTTCATTTGAAAACAGCATGACTGTTTGAAAGCACATTTTGAAAGAGGGGAAAAAATCCTCGTAAAACCGTTAAGACTATCTATGAAAATGCTTAACTGGTAGAGTGTTATTGGTTGGAAATCAAGATTATTTTGAACAGGAGACCCTTCCTTTTTTTCTCTCCCCTTCTCTTCCCTTCTCTGCCCCCTTGGTTCTGCCAAGTCAAATTCAACGTCATTTTCCACACTCTTAAAAATCTCCAGCCTTGTAAGAAAATAGTGTCTGCCAAGCAGAAGGGTCTTGAGAAAATCTGCAGCGGGCCCAAGGGAAGGCTATAAAATGCTTTTCATGGAGACTGGGCAAATGGGGGCGATGAGAACAATTTTGATTGAAAAGGCTAAGAAATTCAAAATTGAGACAGAGAGAGAAAGAACAGGAAAATGAAAAAGAGAGAAAGAAAAAAACCTTCCAAATCCAAAGTAATGTTTACTTCACTCCCAAACAGCATTACCTCACTCACTGCAACTTGACCTTTGAAAGCATTTGTGATGGTGTTTGCTTGCATGAGAATTAGACGGGCTGTGTCTCATTAATTCCCTGACTTCTCACTCTTAAGATTTCTTCTCTCCTAATTCTTATTGAAGCTTTCTTCTTGAGGATGCTAATAGGGTCCCTGTGAATTTTCTAGTTGTAATTTTCTGAAAATACGTCAGTTAAATTTTGGCCATCAAGAAGGGAGAAATGTCTCTTTTAAAAAAAAAAAAAAAATCCACTGAGACACTCTTCCCCTTCTCTTAAAAGGGCAACCTTAGTTTCCAGAAGACCCATCCTATACCTTGGGGCCGTTATTGCTTCCAAGCCATGCTCAGTGGGTCTCTCTGTGTAATGGGATGAGGATGGGCACTGGCATTAGGGTCAGTTGACTGAGGTTCTGGTCCAGATATTTTTTACTAACTGGATGACCTTGAACCAGGACCCCCTCAGCCTCAGTTTTCTGTATAGAATAAACCAATGATTTCAAAAATATATATATAACTGAAGTGTACAAAAGTTATAAAGGTAGCAAAATTGTTAATTATCGTATTGTTAATAACAAAACATTTGCTGTTAATATTTTTATTATTATTGGGGATCATCTAGTCCTTACTCAAATTATGATACATGTCAATTGCTACCACATGGTTAATTTTGGTTAATATCTGAAGAGTTTTGAAGCATTTCATCAGTTTATGCCAATCTACGTATTGATCTTCCTTTTAGGGAGTTTATAAGTTTTCACCTCAAGTTTCCCTTAATTTCTAGAACTTCCACAATTAAGGTAGTTTCAATTAACACAGGACATTTTTACTTATTCGCATAGTGCAACTTCAGGCCCAGATGAGGGATGAAATGACCCATTTAAAGGAAGAGATGACTAGGGAAGTTACAGAGGATTTGACGAATGAAGCTCTGGACCTAAGATGAGAAAACATCTGTTTTGATATTTTGCTTTTAATTCTAGTTAAAACAATTGCTAAAGTTGTCATTTCTAATCAAAACATAATTGTGTGGGTTTTCTTCTTTTTTAAAAAATCTGCTCCTCCCAAATCTCCTTTTCCCATCATTCTTGTTTTGAATTTTGTTTGTATCCTTGACAACTTGACATTGTGCCTGTCGAGGAAAAAAATAATACAAAATATAAAATGTTGGAGTAGGCTTCTCGCTAGCACCCTAATCAGGCTGGAGCACTTTGCTTCCTTCAGGCTGAAGCCTCTGCATAGACAGATGGGAGCAGCAGCTGGTAATCCTCCTGGGATTCGCAGTCTATTCCAGGTGCTCAAACAAGGGTGGCATTCTGAAACCAGGTAATTCCATCATGCCATCCTTCATCAAATTCCCCAATATTTAATGATGTGTGTCCTATAAAAATGGAAATGTCACAAGATTCAAACTAATATACTATCGCCTAACATTTGGAGTGACCGACCCAGGGTCTGAAAGTTGCAGAGAAGCGACCACAGAAAGACAAAGGAGCAGGGGGGTGGAGGATGTTGGCTGTGAAGCATTACAAGTGATTGAGTGATGGAACTTGGAGCTCAGGTCAATTAGGGAAGGAAGGAAGGAAAATTGGGGTGCTAATACACAAGAGAATATGGGGGCTAGGGGAAGAAATTGACCAGCTGTTCATATACTTACTAACCTGGCTGGAGAACACTGCTTAGCTGTGCAGAGAAATGGCCAAAATGATTGGTTTCCAGTTGCAGCTGGGGCTTTGGCACTGGTCAGCGCTCCCTTTACTTGATCCTGAATAGATGTCTTGCTTAGTGCTCTCATGACCTATTATTTCATACCTTCACTATCCCAGCTCCCTACCCAAACTCCTCCCTGCTTAACTACTAGCAGATGACTTCGCCTCCTGTGAAAGACAGAATTAAAAGTACTGGTTCTGAATGCCATTGAGATCTTCCTTACTCTCTCCTGCTTGCAGTCCCAAGGGTTCCTAACCTCACTTCCCGTCTCCAGGTTAACCCTTCTACCTGCAGCCCCAGGCTTTTGGGTCGGCACCCTCTGATCTTGTCCAGGACATGGTTTTACATCAGTCATTACTTCTCCCTCTATCTCTCTCAGTTTCCATCTATACTTCCTCTCTGACTACTGTCTCAGCTTGAAAGCCATTCAGATAACTAAAGCTGACATGGAATATGGGGGGAACCTGTAGGAGGAAGCCATTGGTAGCAGATTCATCTACGATGCTAGTGGCTGCTTTTAGAGATGAAGCTAGAAAAACAGAAGAAAAATAATAAAATGAGAAAAGAAGATGACGGAAATGAGAAATAAAGAGATTGAGAAAATTTTTCTTAATTTTTAGTCAAAGGATTTTCTGGAGAAGCTTAGCTTTTTCTAAAAGTAGGACAGATTCTGACCTGTCTGGATATGGCTTAAGGTAGGGCATACGTCTTTTTTTTACCTTTTCGAAGTAGTATTTACATTAGCTTTTTATTTACCTAAGTAACACGTCTATGGTAATGAGTTTTAAAAGCATAGAAAAGCACAATGAGAAAAATTAAAATCATCTGCAGCAAATACACGACCCAGACTATCAAATTTAGTGCTTTCTAGTTTTTCCCTTATTAGAAAAATATCTTTCTATTTTTCCCTTATTAGAAAAATATCTTTCTATTTTTCCCTTATTTTTAAAACGACTTTTGGGATTATATTGTATTTACTTTTTGTGTTTTTTTTTTAATACTTCATTACCAGAAGACTTAAATATCTCTTGATGTCTAGATTATATAATTGCTTTATTAATATCTCTTATCATCAAACACGAATGATATAAGTGGCAAACATAAGTCGCCACCAGTTTATGTGATAAAAGGAAAAACAATATCCCCTGAAGTATTCATATGGATTTTGCAGGTACCCAAGATTCCCTGAGCATCAGAAAAGACTAAATCATTCATAATAGAGTTGACCCTCGCTATTCACGAATTTCTGTTTTAAGTAGCTTCACGTTCAGGAGGTTCCATGTCAATGAAGAGATACCAAGTCAAGGTGCAACAAAAACTTTTGTAAATTTTGCTGGGTCCAGGGTCTGCCCTTTGCTAAATGATGAACTTGCACACATTGTGCACCAGGTTACAGACGAATCACAATCAGCTGCACGCTGCTCTCTAATTTTTCTATTTATTTTCTCTAGTAAGCAACCCTATCTAGGGACTCTTACACTGACTGCTTAAGAATTCAATTTATTGTCTACAACCTTGCCACCCTGAACAAGCCCGATCCCATCTGATCTCGGAAGCTAAGCAGGGTTGGGCATGGTTAGTACTTGGATGGGAGACCACCTAGGAAGACCAGGTGTTGTAGGTGTAAAAAAATAAAAATAAGAATAAAAAAAGGGATTGTAAACTGACAAGGTCCTTGCAATCTGTGAGGTCAACCAAGGGTTGCCTTGCCTAAAAAAGAAAAAAAAAACTCAATTTGTTTCAACTAAATTTATTGGGTATTGGACTAAATTTATTGGGCATTGAGTGAGTCATGGCTTTTTTTTACAGTAATAATAAAGACCCCTTTTCTCAGTGGACTAGTATCCTTAGTTTGTGTCTCTGGTTTTGGTTTATCACTTTTTAGTATATATGGCTTCCTTTTATTGAGCATTTATTATGAGCTAGCTATTATTGTTTTATATACACTATCTAAGTAACTTAGCATTACAACAAACTTACTGAGGTGGATGCGGTTATCCATATCTTTCACCTGAGGGATGGAAGCTTAGGAAGGTAGAGAGTCTGAGATCAAGAAGCCATAGTCCAAGTTTATATGACTGGTAAATGGTGAATTGAGATTTAGATCTTTCGTGTAGTGCTTTGTTTTCTTTTCAGTAGTGTGTTTGTTCTGGTATTGTACTGTTAGGAATTCAGGGAGACTGGTACCATCTTGTGTTTACTAGATGTGAGTCTACTTGTGAGTTTTTTTTCTTCTGGCCTACCCCTTTTACTAGAGAAATTGGGGGAGGGAAAAGACGGGTAAGAGGAGCTTTCCATTTACTCCAGTGGTGGCGGGAAAGCTGGGTAGTGGGGTCATGACCAAAAGTTAATTCCATACACTGTAGGAAAAAAGTAGTTTCACTGGGTCAAGGTTAAGATAAAGGGTCCAGGTTAAGAAAGGGTTGAGCCTTATAAGCAGGCAAAGGATAAAGGCAGTAGCAATAGAAGGAGTCTTGATTTATTTTCAACCTGTTTCCTCATTGAAGGCAGCCAGAGTAATGAAGATTTCCTCTTGCTGGTAGCTCTCAGTGCCCTTTGAAGTGGTATTGGGGCGGGGAGGGGAGGCGGGGAGAGTGGGAGGGAGATCCATCAGTCAGTCTGAAAGGAAACATTAAGAAATAGTGAAATGTGGAAACTTGGTATTTTAGACTTGGGTCTTAGAATTAAAAGGCATTTAGTAGAATAAGTAATATTTCTAGAAGAGGTTTTTATTTAAATTATAGCAAGGTAGATTGACTTTAAGATCAATGAGATAAATTGGAATGGACTTAAGTCTAAAAACGTATGTAACAGACAGACTATGGACTTAGTCTGTAACTAATTATTGTAGATAGTTCCAGACACATTTGAATGTCTTCATTATGATAAGAGATTCTCGATATGAAATCAGTTCCCTGTTCCTTTTAGAGATTCTCTCAACTGAACCATCCATTTGTGGTAAGGATCATCATGATTCTTTAGGTATGTGTTTACTTAAGGAGTATAAAAATTAAAAATTATTACCTAATACTAAGAGCATACTTCTATAATCCTTTGTAATTTACAAAGTACTTTTCTAGGCAGTGTGTCATCCAGTATCATGATGATGGTAAATGACTGGTTCAAGGTCATAGGAGTAGGAAGATAAAGGACTCAAGACTTAATTGGCTTCTTGATTTGTTCTTATAATACGCAAATCTTGGCTAAAGAATTAATGTTTTACACTTTTTTCTGCAGTTACTGTTATTTATAACATGGAGATAGTGGCAACCTTTAAAAAACCTACTAGAATTAAAATCGAGGCTTCGAACATAATCTCAACTTGTTTTTATTTTAGGAAAAGAGAACCTTCCCCCTACACCCAATTATTTTAGTCCCAAGGTTGGCAAACTTTGCTCGTGAAAGCCCTGATAGCAGATATTAGGCTTTGCAGGCCATGCGGTCTCTGTTGCAGTTCATCAACTTTGCTGTTCGAGTGTGAAAGCAGCCATAGATAGATAATATAAAAGCGAATGTGCATGCCTGGTTCCAATAAAACTTTATGGACACTGAAATTTAAATTACATACAATTTCCATGTGTTACAAACTATTTGTTTTTGATTTTCAAATATGTAAAAAGATAAAAACATTTTTAACCCTCGGGCCATATCAAAACAGATGGCAGGCCAGACTTGGCCTACAGACCTTAGTCTGCCACCCTTTGTTCTATTTAGGAAAGGGGAGGGCCCTAATCTTGGCTAGGATGATGAAGGAAGAAGAGCCGGTGGTTATTACGCACTTGAGTTGATAATTCTGTGGTTAAGAGTGTGGTGGCTGGTTCTTCCCAATACTATCTTTTTGTCTTGATATTTTCCACTCATTTTAGTCAAAATTTGGTGACTTCATTTCCATATCTCGCAGTGAGAAATCTTATGACTAGCGAGCATGCGGTTTAGAAATTACAGTGATATGGTCACTATAGACAGAAAGACGTTTTGATGTGTTAATTGCTTCCGGTATGCAAAGCATGCCTTGTAGTTTTTCTCCATGTGAGGTTAAGTTCTGTGTGAACTAGTATATGTCCCATACAGTTTCTAGCCTAAAGCTAAATAGCCAAGCAACATTCATGAAATTACATACCTGTTATTGACTGGTAAGGAGACAACTAGAAATCCTATACCTACAAATCTGATTTTAAGAGGAGCTGAAGTTATGCTTTTTGCACACTAAAAAATAAATACTATGAGGTCCGTGACCATACATGTTTCTACAGACTGTCATAGATGCTGGCTTTCTAGTTGGCATTCTATCACTAAATAACATCCAGAAATTGAACTTCTTCAAGCTCTTCAATCCCACTATATAGCAAACCCCTTCCCAAGAGATTTCTCAGAGCTTTCCCTTCTGACAGTTAAAACTCAACATGCAAACAGTCTCCCTCAGAACTCCTGGTACTTTGCTGTTGAAAACTGGGAGGGATGAGGCCAATTTAAATATGCAGAACCTCAGAAGTTCAGTTCAAGTTTAGTCTCTTCTAAGGGGCAGTTCCTTTGGTCTGCTTGTGCTCACAAGGAGGCGGAGTTACTTGAACATAAATTCTGGATTGCCCCCTTCCTGTTGTTTTTAGTCTTATTTTAGCTTTCTGGTTTTACCTTTCCGGGCTGAGTCAATATAGGTGGGTGTGGCCATGAACTCTCAGGACGTTGGATTCTAAAGGTGGATTGAACTTCTGCCTTCACTTTCTCTATGTTCCTTACAGACCTGCCCGCCCTGTAGCCACATACAAACCAGCGATAGACAAGGCATGGCAGAGGCAAAACATGGCTTTGGAGGAATTTTCTTAAGGCTTCTGAGGCCTGAGGTGCTTGAGTACGAATCCAAGTATTAGGAAAATTCTATTTTTTACAATGAAAAACTAATGTCTAGCTGCCGTCTAATTTTTTTTTCTTTAAAATAAGTGAGACAGACCATGCTGGACCAAACCAGAATGCCGAAAAATAAAAAATAAGTAAATAAACAAGCAAATAAATAAATGCATTTTTATTTAGGAAATGGATACTTCTAAATAAGTCCAATAAAATTAAAAATTAAAAAGTTAACCCTGAAATTGATATAATTAGTTAAATCGAGAGAGGTAATAAATTCATTTTTAATATCTGGATGCTTCACATACTCTTTACGTCATGTTTTAATAATGCATTTAAATTGCTGTCTTCGCCAACATTCTTCATTAACATTTTTCTCAGAAAAAGATAGCTATTAGAAAAATTGAAAGGCACATTTTTAAAAAATGCTGAGATTCTCTAGCTAATTATGCAGAGGACTCATGATATTATATCTATATATCTTCGCATATACGTAAACAAATCCTCTTCAACTTGGAGAGTTTATTTTTCTACAAATTTTTCGTAGGTATTTTTTTTGTTTCCATTCAAAACTGGTATATTAAATCCCTCCCATTTTTATAAAGTTGTTCAAGAACTCTAAAAATAATTACTTTTGATTTAAATAAATAGGGTGAATTTTAATTAAATTCATCCAGTATAGCCAGATTTGATGGCAAAATGATGGGAATTGCAAATAACAATCTCAGTCTCTGTCAATCGTGTTATTTATTGTTTGGATGAAGATGTGAAACTGGCTCATTACATGTCAACTCTGATCACTTTATTTCTACTAAGGCCTTGCTGCATCCCAGTTCTTATTTCATTTGATATGTGGAAGAAGCTCCATCCACAGGTATAACCCACTTGTGCAAAAGCTAGTAGTAGCCTTTCCCAGCTGTCTCACTCCTCCCTAAGGGAAGTAAGTGGCTTAATCTGATTGTTGAGTATGGAAGGAGTAAGGGACAGCCAGCTCCTTCCTTCCTCTTTCTGCTGGCAGTGGCTTCCACCACAGAGCCGATACCTATCACACCTTGAGAAGGAGCATGCTCTGTATGTGCAGGGGAGGCTGGCCCTACTTCACTGCTAATTAGAATTGATAAGTCTATTTAATACTGGAGAACATAAATTATGAAGCCCACTTCTCTATAGACATAAGCCCTGTTCTTCATATCAGCTTCATGAGTATAAAGGTGATATTTTGGTTTCTCATCACTTTCCTTCTGATTCATTTTCCAATTGGTTCAGAAATTAGCCTGGAAAGAAAAGCACTGTTTGTAACTTTGTCCCCTGGACCTCCAATGAAAGTGTCTACCAGGGGTTCACGGGTATGGAATAATCCAAATAATTTTCTTGAAGTTATAGTTGGTTTGGTTTCAGAATTGCTTTTTTTTTTTTTGACCTATATAAGGATTGTTTTTAAGAACAACCATTAGCATTTCTAGAACAGCTTAAGATAATTTACATCTGTTTTTATATACAAAGGGCTAGGCGAGTACTTAATACTCTAGAATAAAAAGGTGGTCTGAGTGTCATGCTAGTTCCCTTCCTGATGCAATGTTATCTGCTAAACCCAGGTCATATGAACATCTTGCTTCAGAATTATAAAACCAGCTGTAGGAGAATTTTCTGTCTTTTGTTCATTATATTAAAATGGGGGGGATAACTTTTAAGTATGCCTCCCTTTTAATACTGTCATAAAAGTTTTCCTATCATCATTCACACCTGAGGGACAAGTTGCCTAATAGCCTTATTTAAGCCAAATTGAAAAAAATAAAATCTAGGGTGACCAACCCAGGAAGTTTTCTAAAAACTGGGATGTTACTGGGATATGAAACTTTCATCACCAAAATTGAGACCATCTGTGGCAGAGCGGGACAAACTGGTTGCCCTCCAACACATACTTACACATCACTTCAGCTGTTCTATCCAGCAAGGACATTAACTTAAATATTGAACTTGCTGAAAACAAGCTCTTTGTATTGGCCACGATATAACAAACTGTCATCCTGTGATACATGCTTATGGAGGCCTTCTGATTGATGAAAAGGCTTAATATGTATATGCCCAATTTTGACTGTATGGAGCACACTCACAGTTTTTTTTTTCTAACATTCTTTTCTTTGCAGGTTTGTGATTCAGACACCATGCTTGACCCAGCTTCATCTGTGGAGATGGTAAAAGTTTTAGAAGAGGACCCCATGGTTGGAGGTGTCGGTGGAGATGTCCAGGTGCATATGGCTTCACTTTTTGCATGAATCACTTTTAGTAGCGCTCTTACTCACTGATTCATTGAACATGCATTTACTACACAATAAACTCTGTGACAGGTATTGTTTTTGATGCTAGAGACACATTAGAATGTGCCGTGCCTTAGACCCACTTTACTGCCTCTTCTGTCAAATTGAAATAATTTAAGAATCCTTTGCTTAATCTTAAGTTATAACTCATGTCTGTAGTGGTTGATAAATTATATACAACATAATGTAAATGTGTAATGATTTCCACCAGATCTTCTTGAGCCATAATTTACTGTTCTGGAAAACTCTAATGTTGGAGTTCATTTAGTTGCAAATGAACTAAAGTGTAGCAGAAGATGGATTCTATATCTCATACTTATGTAATTAAAAGTAGAACTAATATGTGGTTAATCAAAAATCTAAATTGGAAAACAAAGGAAGAAAAGAGAAACAACTCAAATTTATACTAGCGAGACAGGCAAGCAAAAAGCAATTAATAAGTGGGTTTTCTAATTATTATTCTCACTAATTATTATTTATTTCCCATTATCTGCTATGTAATGGAGAAACAATTAGTGAAACAAATATTAATGAAGGCAATTTGAAATTTGTGGAATGGGAAAATGAATATGAAAATATGTAAAGATTAAAATGAATTTTTGGCAAGTATGAGATTAGATTTGAGCAAAAGGTGCAAAGCACACTGAAATTTTATTTAAAATTTACCGTGTTGCTTTATAACCCATTCTCTATATGCGTGGTGACGGTGAAGACAAAGAAAATGGACTGCAATGGACAAAAATTAACCCAGTGTTAAAAAGGAAATGTGGAAAATCCAGATGAACGCTAAACGAAATTGAGACAGAGGGAAGAATTTAGAAATATTGCCAAGAAAAATCTGATAATTTTGAATAGCCTTTCCACAGAGCATTATTTCAGAATTCAGCTTTTGTGGGGAGGCCAGAGTAAACCCTTTTATCACTGGCATTGCAAAAAAGTGGGGAGGAGAAGGAAAATTTATAGCCAAGGATTGGCTGAATTGGAAATGAACCAGAACAGGAGGGAATAGGACTGAAAACTTTCAAACCTTTAATGGCAGGAAAGCGTGTCTGGGGAGAAGAATTTAGGGACTGAGAACTAAAGCCTAAAAGAAAAAAATCTCACTATTATAGCATAACAACAAAAAGCATAGCAAAATGAGGATAGAGCAATGACGTAGAAAAAATATTCATCATCAAAGAGTCCCAACACATGCACACAACTTATCAAATTAATCTAGTAAGATAGGATCAGAGAAAATGAAATATAATCTTGTCAAAAAGAGGAAGAAAGCCAAAGTAAGAGGACCAAATAACAAGCCTCACCCCAGACAGTAACCTCACAATTTGTTGGTATTTTTCGCCAAGGCTTATCTTTTGTTTACTTATGTTTTCTTTCTTGCAGATTTTAAACAAGTATGACTCCTGGATCTCCTTCCTCAGCAGTGTGAGATACTGGATGGCTTTTAACATAGAAAGGGCCTGTCAGTCTTATTTCGGGTGTGTCCAGTGCATTAGTGGACCTCTGGGGATGTACAGAAACTCCTTGCTGCATGAATTTGTGGAAGATTGGTACAATCAGGAATTTATGGGCAACCAGTGCAGTTTTGGTGACGACCGGCATCTAACGAACCGAGTGCTGAGTCTGGGCTATGCAACAAAATACACAGCTCGATCCAAGTGCCTTACGGAAACGCCTGTAGAATATCTCAGATGGTTAAACCAACAGACCCGTTGGAGCAAGTCGTACTTCCGAGAGTGGCTGTACAATGCCATGTGGTTTCATAAACATCACTTGTGGATGACCTACGAAGCGGTGATCACTGGATTCTTCCCTTTCTTTCTCATTGCCACGGTAATCCAGCTCTTCTATCGGGGTAAAATTTGGAACATCCTTCTCTTCTTATTAACTGTCCAGTTAGTAGGTCTCATAAAATCATCCTTTGCCAGCTGCCTTAGAGGAAATATCGTCATGGTCTTCATGTCCCTCTACTCGGTGTTGTACATGTCGAGTTTACTTCCCGCCAAGATGTTTGCAATTGCAACGATAAACAAAGCTGGGTGGGGCACATCTGGAAGGAAAACGATCGTTGTTAATTTCATAGGACTCATTCCAGTATCAGTTTGGTTTACAATTCTCCTGGGTGGTGTGATTTTCACCATTTATAAGGAATCTAAAAAGCCATTCTCAGAATCCAAACAGACAGTTCTAATTGTTGGAACGTTGCTCTATCTATGCTATTGGGTCATGCTTTTGACTCTATATGTGGTTCTCATCAATAAATGTGGCAGGCGGAAGAAGGGACAACAGTATGACATGGTGCTTGATGTATGATCTTGCATTGTTTGATGTTTGCAATCAGACATGCAGACACACACAAAACTTTAGTTCCTCTAGGGACTGTACGGTATCGTGGCATCAGATAATGCCGCCAGAGGAGACCTATCACTGCTGCTGGGACTTGAACAAAGACATTTCTATGGGTTTATTTTGATTCTGCCAAAGTAAAATGATAACATCAACAAGAAGAAACTCAGATTGAAACTGTTATTTCTATGAAAATGGGAAGTCTTCTTTGTTTATGCACTTTTTCCTTACTGTACATCCACCTAACAGTGTTTTTGCCCTATATACCTCACTAGCCATGCTTTACGTGGGTTATCGTGGAAGAAAAGGATTTTGGAAACTCAAGGAAAAGTTCTTACAACATATACAACCTAACTTATGGACTGTGTTGATAGTTATTATTTTTTTTTTTTTTAGGGAGGATTTTCTGTTTAACTTTACCAAATGAAATGCCAAAGGAAATTTTAAAGGCCGTTGGCTGTGCTGTATTTTTATATAATTGTACTGTGTTTTAAAATTTTGTATGCCAATTTTTAAAACAAAATTTGCATATTCTATATTTTACTTCTCTGCCAAAATACACCTGTTCTTTTTTTTTTTTTAATAAAATAGGTTCTGAAAAAATTCAAACTTATAAAAAAACCTACCCAAAATGTGAAGCTTGGTTGACTGATGTTCATGATAGAAAGAATAAAATGTTTCTCTCTCACTCTACCTTTTAAAATCGAAGAGTCTATTTCTGTGAAAAAGTATTTAAACGTTCGATATTTTAACATTTTTTCATTTCTTTTAGAAAAGGTTAATATACCTGTCACAATTTGGGAGTAAAAATACATACTTATGTGTACAAAAAAAAAGTAAGTCATTGAAAATCAAGGCCAAAGGGGTAGAAAAGTGCAATTTTTTCATAAAGTTATAAAAAGGGAATGCTAGTCCTCAGAAAACACTGGGCATCCAGCACTGGACATAAAATGAGTATCAAAGATGAATAATCGTTAGAGATTCTGGCAGTGTTTTCCCAGGTCAAGTAAAAAGGAAAGTGGAAAAAAAAAATTATCTGTATAATTTGGACAACTACAACACAGTCAATCATTTTGTTCTGTGGCTTGAATTCACCAAATCCTGCCTATATATTGAACATTTTTCACCTGTCTTTTTCTTTCAGCTTGCCAATTCACAGTACATTAGTATGAGGTTTCCGCATTTGAGTCGGATAAATTATAATATAAAGCATATAGATTCAAGATAGCAGATTCAAGTTCTATCTTTTTATTTTCTAGGGGAGCTTTTTTTGAATTATACAGATAATTTTTTCATCTCTTCTATTCTTGGCCTACATAAATATGTTTACATAGTAGAAATGATATCAAGGTTTAATAATTATATCAAAAATAGGCACATAAAAAAAATTGATGAGCCAGGTACCTGTAGTCCAGCTAATTTTGCTTCTCCAGAGCCTCGGTCATCCAGTTTGAATTTTGACACCACCAATCTAGCCTTATAGCTGGTGCTGTGTAGACCTGTGTTAAAAACACAATCGAACACGAGTAGTTGTGTAAAACGTATTGTGATGAAGCGGAGTCACATGGAGAAGTTTGACTATGTACTTCCTGCCTTTCTGCTTCTTTTTCATGCAGACATCTATCGATATTCCATCTATCTTGCCTAAGAAAAAGCTGCACATTCTACCTTCGGAATACAAAAAGGTACATCACATTCTGCGACTCTGACTCACTGATTGGAGAGCTTGCAGGAAACAAACACCATGCCAACACCATGCCAATAAATGAGACTAAAACTTGAGTTTGCATTTTTAACTATTTATGTTCTAAGTTAAGCTTTGATAACATTCAAATGTCAAATTCTCTCATTCTTATAAAAGATTGAATTAATTGCCTGTATTTATTTTAGCAATTATTCAATGTATTTTCAGTATAGGATGTATAGTATAATTAATTTTTTTGTAAATAAAATATTTTTGATAAGATTATTGTGTTTTTTTCTAAGGGAAGGGGGAATTTCAAACAAAATATAAAAACTGTTTTCCCGATTGTAATGGTATGGATGTAAGAATGGGATATATGGGAAGAAAGCATGTTTGGCTAAAAATAGTAGAAGTCATTTAATTTTACTAATCATAAGGTAGAAATCTCCCAAACTGGTGTGGTTTAGAAATCTAGAAAACAGACTACTGTCTTAACCCTTGTCTCTAATCTCTTTGTAATACCCTTTAAAGCAGCCAATTATAGATGAGTTGTTTATTTACAGTAACTTATAGCTGAAAAAATATCACAGATTTTTCAGAAAAATCATAAGCAAATTTGTTATAGCATCAATAATAACAAAACTTTAAAATAATAAAATCTGATACCAAGAGCAATAGTTAAATGAATCACAGTATTTCCAAACAATGGACTGTCATTACCCATTGAACGACATTCTCAGAGAATAGGATTTTAGAAAAATGTTAAAAATATATGATCAATGTGTGCTGTAACATCCCAATTTTGTAAAAACATGTCTAACTTGGTTATCTACTATTGGGAATATGACCGATTTATATTCTGTATACATTTTTGTATTTTCCAAATCTATAATCTCGTATGGCTTTTATAATCAGAAGAAGGACAATAAATAATTGCTTTTAAAAAAAAAGTGGGTTGGGGCATCTAATAGCATTTCCTGGTTTGAGGAGGTTTGATGGTAATTATTGCATTTTGCCACTTATCCCTCAAATTTATCTTATTTCCCAATTCCTATTATCGGTTCCTAACAATCCTTATTGTGATAGTTACGTTATTAAAAAATACTATAGCCACTGAACCAGTATTGCCACTCTAGTCCCAGTAATTCACTGGTAAAGTCACTTGGTACTATATTCGAGATTGGCAAAATTTTAACATAATATCCATGTAGGCTCTCCTGGCTGTATGGTCTATCATGTGACTACTCTGCTACTGTAACAAAAGCATCCATAGGCAATGTGTACATAAATGTGTGTGGCTGTTCCAATAACACTTTATGGACACTGAAATTGGGATTTTATATAATTTTCGCATGTTTCAAAATATTCTTTTGATATTTTTCAATCATTTGAACATTTTAAAATCAGCTTTGCAAAAATAAGCCTGCAGGCCATAGTTTAATGACCCCCTGCTCTTTAGGAATCTGTTGACTCCTAATTTTTGAGTACATACCATGTGTCAGATACTGCCAGAAGCACATTTTATAGACCACCTCTTTTAATTCTCATATCAGTCCCCAAAGTTTCCATTATTATTATTACCCTTTTATAGGTGAGAATCTGAGGCCTAAAAAGATTTGGTACCTGGAGATCATAAAGCTAGCAAATTGTGGAATTAAGTCCAGGCAATCTGACGTCAGACTTAACCCTTTAAATTAGTGCTGCCAGTATGTCATTCACTGTCCAGCAGCGTTAGCCTCACCTGGGAATTTGTTAGAAATGCAGATTCGTGGTGCTACCCCAGATCCACTGAATCGAAGTCTCAGACTGGGACCAAGACTTTGTGTTTAATAAGATCCCAAGATGACTGACTTACATTAAAGTTTAAGCAGCATAGCTCTAATCTGGACTCATAATGTTCTCCTCAGACTAAGTATGATTTCTATGGTAGTTATCATAGGATGGTTCAGATATTTGCATTTTCTATTGAACTTTTCTACTTTTAGTATCTACCTGGTTTTAAGTTTACTGAATACCTGTTAATGAGCAAGAAATCAAGAGGCATCCTTTATACTCCAGAGCTTGTAATTGAGTAAGAGAAATAAGATAATTACACAAACATTTGATGTAAAATGAAATTACAGGGCTGTAAAGAGTGGCATGGGAATATTAAAAAAAAAAGGAATGAAATGTACGATTAGCTCTAAAGGTGGGCTTCAAGATAGTGTGGGATTGTGGTGATTCTTTATAGATGTGCAAATTTGGATGGGAACTAAGAACTAAGAGATGTGATTTTGACCTATTCTTTAAACAGAATTAACAAGCTTAATTAAGGTGTGGGCTGTATTTAACCAACAGTTTAACCAACTATAGAAAATAAGTTTGAAGGTGGATCATAGAAGACCATAATCCAACTGAGAGAAATGCTAGAATGGGGTGTTTAAACTAAATTTGGTAGACCACAGCACATAAAGATATTTTTGAATGGGGTGCTAACGTTATTGCAGACTGAAGTTTTGGTGGTTAGAATTTGAACATCCCAAAGAAACAGTTACGTTTAGAAACATGATTTGGTTCAAGTGTACTTGTACTAAATTGGTATTTTCCTTCCGGTATTTGACAACTTTCATCATATTCTCTCAAGTCTGCCTCCTGTTTCACATCCTCAGTTAATGAGTGGCATCGTCTCCTGCCAGTTGCCTAAAAGCTATCTTCAGCTTCTTTTACTTGCCATATAACCAGCTAGTCACTACCACCATGTGATTCTACCTTCACTGTGTCACTCAAATTTATCTCTCATAGCTAAGATGTTTTGTGTCTCTTACCTAAACTGTTAAAAACATCTCTTAACTGCCTCTCTTTTCCCCATTTGTCTAATCCAATGGGTTATCTATACTTCTGTTTAAATTATCCTTCTAAGGCTTAACTCTGACTATAGGTGGCCATTGGTATCCTTGAGTTCTGCATCTGAGGATTCAACAAACTGGGTTGGGAAAAATATTTGAAAAAAATTGGTACGTTGCTGATGTACAGCACATAGTTAGGCCTTTGATGGCTGCATCCGCACTGAAAATGTATGGACTTTTTTTGTCGTCATTATTTCCTAAGCAACATAGTATAACAACTATGTACATGTCATTTGCATTATATTAGGTGTTATAAATAATCTAGAGATGATTTAAAGTATACAGGAGGATGTACATAAGTTACATGTAAATAGTACGCCATTTTATATAAGGGACTTGAGCGTCTTGCTGTTTGGTGTCTGAGGGGGTCCTGGAAACAACTCCCCCAACCCCCAATCCCGAGGAATGACTGCGCAAATGTTTAACTTCATCTCATTTTCAACAAGATAACAACATTAAATCTTTAAGAACATTTTACTGTCAACCTGAAATGGCTTTTCCCATCTCCCTGCCACCCCAACTATCTACTTGTCAAAAATTTTTTATATCCTAATTCAAAGTATAACTTTACTACTATCTTCTTCCCCAAATATCTCAACTTAAAGAGTTCTCTCATTCCCCTTCTCTCTTATAATATTTCATTTTATCTCTGCCATGCAGCCCAGACTTTTTCTTATGTCCTGTGTTATGACTATCGATGCACATGATATCCTGGTTAGATAAAAGGGTTTTTCAACCTAAGGCTATGTTTTCATCATTTTTGAATCCTCTGTGGTGACGAGCACAGTCAGGTGTTTAATAAAATTTGGTGAATAAAAAGAAAATACATAAAAGAATAAGGAAGAATGGACTCAAGCAGTGCATTTTCTTTTAG